TTATAGGTCACGTCCAGCTCAACTTTTGTGTGTGTGTGTGTGTGTGTGTGTGTGTGTGTGTGTGTGTGTGTGTGTGTGTGTGTGTGTGTGTGTGTGTGTGTGTGTGTGTTTAACCCCCATTCTTAGTAAACATTCTTTCCTCGATACGTAAATGCGTTCACAACACCTTCAGGCTCTTGGGCATTGAAGGTCTAATGTCACACCGGAGACTCACGCCATCTCTGTCACACGCGAGAACCTCCCTTTTCCCCCCTCCACCCCTACCTCTCCCCTTCCCCCCTTACCTCCCTTACCTCCCCTACCTCTCTTACTGTTATTTCTCTTTTCTCTCAGCATCCTACTCCTCCTCCTCCTGCTCCTCCTGCTCCTCACTTGCCTAAACGAGAAGCCATATGACCCAATTTCTTCTCGGAGTTCCAGGACGCGGGAGGATCATCCGGACGCAACACTTGAGGCAGCTTTTCCATTCTGTTGCCTCGCTTGTTAAATCATCACCTTCAATCACTCACTACAACGACACAAACCATTTATCCCCCAATTTCCCGTGCCACTGCTGCCCCAGAGACCTTCCTCCTTCCTCCTCCTCCTCTTCCCCCCCCCTTCCCCCAAGTCTTTTTTCCTTACGTAGCGCAGGAAACAACTTGTCCCTCATTTGTGACCCAGAGTTGTCTCTGTCTCAAGGCCTACACACACACACACACACACACACACACACACACACACACACACACACACATGATCTTACCTCCATCTCGTTGATTACATTACCCCGTGTTTTTATTATTTATTAATCGCTTACTTTTTCTGACCTAATTCTGACCCACCTTTCCTGACCCAATCTTTTCCTGACCCAATTTTCTGAACCACCTTCCTGACCCACCTTTCCTGACTCCACCTTACCTGACCCAATTTTTTCTGGACCCACCTATCCTGACCCCACCTATCCTGACCTACCTTTCCTGACCCACCTTTCCTGACCCACCTTTTCTGACCCACCTTTTCTGACCTACCTTACCTGACACACCTATCCTGACCCACCTATCCTGACCCACCTTTTCTGACCCACCTTACTTGAACCCACCTCTACACTCCCCTACTGGCTTAACAACCCTTGACCATATGTATAAAAGAGAAAAAAAAGAATTAACACAATCCCTACAAAATATTCAGTAATTAAACGATAAGGAGTTAAAAAAAATCCTCACTACTCAAAATCAACCCATAACTGAAACCAATAATTGACCCAAGAAAAAAAAATTATGGGAAAAAAGTAAAAAAAGGGAAAAAAATTGATGAATGAGAATAGAAATAAAAGGCAATGTACCTCAATTTCCGGTAAACACACACACACACACACACACACACACACACACACACACACACACACACACACACACACACACACACACACACACACACACACACACACACACACACACACACACACACACACACACACACACACACACACACACACACACACACAGACACACACACACACACACACACACACACACACACACACACACACAGACACACACACACACACACACACACACACACACACACACACACACACACACACACACACACACATACACACACACACATACACACACACTCTCTCTCTCTCTCTCTCTCGTTGTAATTTTAAATCCAAACTGTAATTTCAGAGGTTGGGCGGAGAAACAGGAGCCTAGCAAGTCGTGTGAGACTTAATTGTCCAGAAGAACTTTATTACGCTAGGCTTCTCTCTTAATGATGATGATGATGATGATTGTGGTTTGGAGGAAATTTCAACCCACACTGAATTCTTTTGGGTTTCTTTGAGGCGTAAATCATCAAGTCCCGTTAACTGCTTGGTAAATGATGCAACGATGGTTAATGATTTAGTTTATTTTTTTCCTCAGAGATTGAGGAAAGGGGTGTGTGTGTGTGTGTGTGTGTGTGTGTGTGTGTGTGTGTGTGTGTGTGTGTGTGTGTGTGTGTGTGTGTGTGGTGAGAGAGAGAGAGAAAGAGATTTTTCATTTCGCAACAACAACGAGGGAAGCTAAGTATGTTGTATAAGGTAAGAGGAGTTAATATTTGCCCCTTAACGAGAGAGATAAATAATTAGAGAAGGGGAAGAGAAGGAGATAAAGACACAAGTAGAGAAAGACGAATATTTTCCCCAGAGAGAGAGAGAGAGAGAGAGAGAGAGAGAGAGAGAGAGAGAGAGAGAGCTCACACTAATGAAGGTGTTCACGCACACAATATTTTTCCATTAGTAGTCATAACAGGTAGTGACATTTAATAACTCTCTCTCAACACACACACGTACACACACACACACACAAATATACATTCTCGTGCACCAGACAAGACTACCCCCACCACCCCCACCACCCCCCAGAAACCACCCCCACCGCCAAATTCACCCTCAAATATAGTTGTCATTATTTTCTCCCCAAATGGACTTGTTATATACGCTAACTAAGTCGGAACTGGCCTGTAATTCACGCGTTCTGTTATGTTATTGCCCCTAAATGCGATTGAGTGTTATTTGGTGTGATTTTATGGGTGTGTGGGAAGGTAGTTAATTAGTTATCCAGGTAATTATATGGAAGGGTACAAGGAGGTGATGAGGATGTATGATGTTTTGTTGTTGTTGACTTGATTGAATTTGTTGTTGTTTTTGTTGTTGTCTTGGTTGTCTTTGTTGTTGTTGTTGTCTTGTTGTTGTTGTCTTGGTTGTCATTGTTGTTGTTGTTGTTGTCTTGGTTGTTATTGTTCTGGTTGTTGTTATTGTTCTGGTTGTTGTTATTGTTCTGGTTGTCTTTGTTGTTGTTTTTGTTTTAGTTGTCTGTCTCTCAGGGAGGTAAGTATCGTAGCTAGATGTCTCAGTACTAAAACAATCCAAGCCATGTATCTCAGCACCACTACCCCCAGCGATTATTTTATATCCCACATACTCCCAGCCTTCTTCTTTCTTCTCTCTCTCTCTCTCTCTCTCTGTCTCTTCTGTCCCCGTGTACAAAAAAAGAAACCTGCAGGAACGTCCAGAGCACACACACACGCACACACACACACACACACACACACACACAGGGAAGTAATAAGCATCACACATCACCAGAGAATTAGTCCTCTAATGCCTTCATATGATATTCAGAAATCTTAACCCTGCATATCTTTTTCTTTCTCTATCTTTCTTTTCTATCTTTTATCCATCTTTACTCTCTATCTCTCTATCTGTCTATCTTTATCTCTTTTCTTTCTCTCTCTCTCTCACGGTATATTTGCGACGGTGCCAAACTTCCGACCAAATATTGACACTCGACTCCACGCTAACGATGTAATTACCTGATGGGTTGACGGAGACTTGGCACCTGCGCGGCTCTATGGTGGTTTACGTCACGAGGTCACGAGGTCATGTGGTCAGAAGGGAAGGGGGGGGGGGTTACGAGGTTGATTTGTCAAGAAAACCACGTGTCTTGTGGTGATTGGTCAAAGAAACCACGGGTCTTGGAGGTTAGGTTATGCGTAATGATTCAATGTTTATTATTTTTATTATCAATATTTTATTATAGTTTTTATTATTATTATTATTATTATTATTATTATTATTATTATTATTATTATTATTATTATTGTTACTCTTATTATTATTATTATTATTTATTATTATTATTATCACTTATTATTATTTATTATTATTACTATCATTATTCTTATTATTATCATCATATCATATTAATGTGAAATTAAAAATAAAATTCCACGCTACTTTATTTACCATAGTACCTCAGTAATGACTTTCCCAACCTATATTTTATTATTTAATTAACAAAAAACATAATTTGGTGGTTGGTGAGCCGGGTTTTATAATTAATTTTGGGTAAATAAAATATTACCATTAATTTTTTTAAGTGTTTTTTTGCTCATATTCTTGTTTTTCATTACAGGCGTCACTTAAACTATCCGAATATGGTTAGGTTAGGTTATCGTACTCAAATTGGCTGTCATGATGAGTACTAGGTAAGGTTATCGTACTCAAGGGGGTATAGGTTGTTATACTCAGAGGATAATGTAATGTAATAATGACCTATGAACGCACACACACGCACACACACACACACACACACACACACACACACACACACACACACACACAGAAGAAGAGGTCAATAAAGAGGAACAATAAAACAAATGTGAGAGTAAATAAGGAATAAGAGTGGAGAGAAAGACAGTAAGAGTCTAATTTCCTCTTTAATCTTGAGTTTGGGCGATTGAGGTCATTTGTGTGTGTGTGTCTGTTTTGTCTGTCTGTCTTGTGAACGAATACGTATGTGTGTATGTACGTGAGAGTGAGAGAGAGAGAGAGAGAGAGAGAGAGAGAGAGAGAGAGAGAGAGAGAGAGAGAGAGAGAGAGATGATAAACAAGAAGAAGAAGAATTAGATCCAGAACATAAACAAACACGTCACCGCCAATTACCTAAGTAGAGGCAGCATCAGCACTCAGTCACCGAGGAACTATCTCACTGTCAACACTTGAGGCTCGGAAGACGCAAGTTGAAGAAGAAGAAGAAGGAGGAGGAGGAGGGGGGGATGATGGATGGAGTAGGCAAGATTTAAGGAGGGGGAGGGTATGGTGGGGAGGGGGTGTGGATGATGGATGAATTAAGGGTGTGGATGTATGTTAGGGGGTGATTATGGTGGAAGGGGACGGGGAGTTAGTGGGTAGGGGGGGGGCTAGTGGGTGGTAGGAGTAGAGGGAATGTCCAAGGGGAAACAGAAAATGGTGAAGTTAGTGAGGAATATACAGAAGAGGTAAGTAGATGGAGAGAGAGAGAGAGAGAGAGACGTAACGGGAAACAAAATCTGACGTCAAAATATATACAAATAGTGTCTTGTGAGGGGTCAAGTTTTTCAATTTATTATTTATTTATTTATTCATTTATTGTATTTTAGGACACGTAATAAATAGTAACTTAAATATCAATAGGAATAAAGTGACTTACCTTGTATCTCTTATATAAAGGTGTTGACAGCAGCCACCTTGTCTTGATGAGCGCAGGTGTGTGGGCCACTGATAGAAGAGAGAGAAAAAAAATAATTAACCAATTATTTCATCTATGTATAATTTGAAATAATTATACAGGGAGGAGTTTTATCATTCAAAGGGTGTGATTATAGGTAGATCGTTTTATATAATTTGTGTCATTTAGAGAATAATTAAAAGGTTTACCTGAAGATTATAGGTGACCCAGTTTATTTTACCTGATGATTGGTGAATACCTTACCTCGGGGGTTAGGTTACTTTAGGTTAAATTAGGTCAGGTCAGGCTAGGTTAGTTTAGGTTAGGTTAAGTTTAATTAAGTTATCGTTACTATGTTTTAGTCATCAGGTGAGATTAGCTTGGGTGCTTAATCTTCAGGTGATCCAAAAACTCAATCTTGCTGCCACATACCACCACGATAGGAGGAGGAGCATAGCGTGAGGTGACAAGTAGAGGTATGCTAGAGTGGTATGCCAGGCACGGGGTATATCAAGGCATATCTCCACTCTTTATTTTCTACTTCATAGTTGTACAGACAGCAATGTGTGTGTGTGTGTGTGTGTGTGTGTGCATTCTTACATTATATATATTACAGGTAAGAAAAATGTAATAAAATAAGAAATTATAATCAGGTGAACAAACAAGACACAATTACACACGATTATATTACCTGTTAATTGTGTCATAATTGGATCCTTACCCTCAATAATTAAGGAGGAGTTTTATCACCCATTATAACCCACTAAACTACCATTAAACACATTGACACGTAACAACTCACTCTACCATAGACACAGTACCATTGGTGATAATACTCGTATGTGTTCTATATATTTATCTAAGTTATTCCAGTGTGTTTAGTCATCAGAAATCCTTATAATATATAGAATCTATACCTCATTAATCACTATGTAATTATAAACAAGTGTTGTGGTGATGAAAAATGTGGTTGTTGTTGTTGTCGTCATTCTCTTAAATCATGTTCGTGGATCCGGGGTGGTGACGGGGTGGTGAGAGGGGCCATGACGATAATTTAGATAGGGTGAGAGACGCAGTAAATACGTATGAGGACTAATCATCACTATCAAGGGGTGAAATGCCGTAATAAGGTAAAGTACAAAACAAATGGTGCAAATTACCTCGACTCATTCGTTCATCTGATATACACATGAAAATTTCCAGTGATTAAATGTAATGAATGAATTGTCGTGTTGTGGGGACGTTCATTTCAATAATCACACGTAATTGATTATGGCCTTGTCAATAACCAACAAGTTTGATTTATTTATTATTTATAATTTTGTTTACCGTAGTTTAGTTAATTAATATTGAATACGTTGAAGTAATTATTGTTTTTTTTTACGTTCATGATGATTTCCGTAAGCACTCTGAAGAAAAAATCGTGAAAAATCTGGTCATAATCTGTCCTGTGAAGAATCTGACCAAAATCTGTCCTGTGAAAAATCTGGCCAAAATCTGTTCCACGAAGAATCTTATCCCTCTCCCCTAACCCCACCCACCCACCCACCCACCACCCACCCACACCCCACCCACACCCCACCCATCATCCAGCCCCTAACTTTCAAGAGACTCGTTGCGTGGGAATCATCTGATGGCGCTAGGATCTGGATAATAATAGTAATAATAATAATAATAATAATAATAATAATAACAAAATGAATTCAGCTGCAGGACACCATTTTCTACACCGTGACTGATAATATAGCCTTGTGACTACCCGTGTGTACGTTAATATAAGAACGTGTACGTACTTTGGTTAATGTTTGATATAATAAGATTGGGTTAAATGCTCACAGTATTTTTACGCTGTTTCTATGTAGACAATATTTAATTCGAATTTAATCATATGTAATCGGTTGTTTGGGTGAATTGTGGACATTTTCTTGATAATATATTTA